AGTTCGCAGCACGTAGCAAGTACGTCCGCTGCGCTTCGACCCATGTCTGAAACCCCCCGCTCCTTGTAAAGTTCCAGTCGACAATCCCCGAATCACCCCCTCCCTCCCCCCTGCCCCCCTTGCTCGCGCGCCCCCACCTCACACACTCGTCAAGGTGTCCGTATCTCCCAGCCAGTCAGGGCTCGCAGCTTCGATGGGGTTACCACACTCCCCTCCATCCTCATCGTCTTGCAGCCGCGCGATTTCGATAAAGACTTGGGCAGGAAACAGGGCTGTAGTGCTGAGCGAGTCTGTGTAAGAAAGCCCTGACGAGGCGTGCGAACGAGAATGACGTGACGTGACTTGATTGGATTTGAATCGGACTGCAAATCCCCCGACAAAGATGGCACTTCGGCCGTGTTCACAAGCTAGAAGATCAATGGGCGCGAGCAAAAGCGAAAAGCAGTCCAGGCCTATGTCGGTTTTGGAACTTTCTACTAACATTCTTCGTGCAACTTCGCGCGCGCGCACCGAGTCCCGAGAAGGGGAAAAAACAAAGTTGCCCCCGCCCCGCGTCTTCACCTGGACGCGACAGCGCCGGCACTCGTCGAAGAAGATGCTCTAGCCCTGTTCCTCAAAAGGATGTAGAGCATCACGAATAGCGTCTCCACTCTGGATTTGACGAGCACTGCGATCGAAAAAGAAGGAAAGAAGGGAGGAGGGGATGAGCAAGATCCGCACTCTGAGCGTCCAAAGAGCCTTCTCCTCAAAGGCTGTGGGTAGAACATTGACTTTCATACTCACTGGTCAGCCCGTGGCTGCTCGCCGCACGCAGGTCAGCGAAAAAGAAGAAGGAGAGGGGGAATGAGCATTGGACGGCCCACGCTTCGCCCTCCTCCACCACGACTTACTTGAATAGACCCTTTGTGATTTGACTCTCCCATCCCTGATACAGACCCTTGACGCCCGATCTACGAACCGTCTTTCTGATCACATCGAGCAGGCTGTTCAAGGGAGGCAAAAAAAGGAAGCAGCGCACAAGGGGAACGATGAGTCTACTTTATCGCCCGCGACTCTCGCTCGCAGGATTGTCAGCTTCCCACTCACTTGCGATACTGTCTCCTTCCACTGGGACTCCTCCACATCAACCTGCTCTTGCTCAATATCAAGGGGTACAGAGCGAGGGTACTAGCGGTGCTTCCCAGCGCATTGACGAAGAAGACCTGAGTTGCCGTTGGTTTGTCGCGAGATGAACGCGGGATGAGGACTCGGGAGAGGAGAGAGGAGACGTAAAAGGTGATGGCAGGTTGAGAAGATAGTAGAATGGCAGTCTCGAAGCCTGACCATAGACCTGTGCGCCAGAATGAAGGCAAGGCACGCCGCGCATCAGAAGGAGCGAAACCATTGGAAAAAGACTCGCCCACTTTCTCCTTTTCACGCCCACTCACCCAGAGCCCCTTTTTCCTCCACGATATCCTTCAACGTGGTGACGATTCCCGGTCCATCGGCATAATTACCCTCATCCTCGCTCTCGCTATCGCTCTCTTGCTTTTGCTTGTGGCCCCTGCTATCCGCAGCGCCGTTTGATGGCGATTCGGAGCTGGTCTGCAATCTGACCGTCACGTTGCTGAGTGGTGTGGTGAAGAACCTGCTAGCCACACCAGCTAGGAAACCGATGGCGAGATCTTGAGAGGACGTGATGGTGGGAGCTGCAGCTTTTTGGGAGGAGGGGGAGGAGGAGGAGGAGGAGGATGATGCGGAGGGAGCAGATCGCGATCGCGATTTGTAAGCGAGCGCGCGCTCGATGAGGAATGACCGAAAGAAGAAGAACAAGAAGCTGTTGGAGAGGCGTGGCGTGGCGTGAGAAGCGGCAAGCAAGGCAAGGTGAGACGGAGCGCATGTTTGTGACTACGCAGCAAAGGGGTGGCGGGGGAGGGGGGAGGAGAGGGAACTCACTTGCTGAGCATGCTGGAGATCGTATCGCTGCTCCAACCCTGATACAATCCAGCCACTCCCTTCTTGTCGACCACATCCCGCAACGCATCTGCAAGTCTGCTGAAACCATTCTTGTTCGCTGCAGCTCCTGCTCCTGCTCCTGCTCCTGCTCCTCGAGTTTGTATGCGCGTGGAGATGAGATCTAGAGGGTAGACTATACTACCGCTCACTGCGCTACCTAGCGAACCGGCAGTGGCTTGTGCGAATGGAGGAAGCTCGGAAGATGTCATGATGAAGTTTCCAAAGTGCACCTCTACGATAAAGGCGGGGATCACAACGTGATGGGTGATGCTGTGGCTGTGTATGATGTGAGGCGATGCAAGTCGTTCAATCGATACCTTACCGTCACCTGATATGCTCGCTCCCTTTCGCCTCGCTCGCAGCCTTTGAAGTTGGTTGCTTGCTTGCTTGCTTGCTTGCTTGCTTGCTTGCTTGCTTGCTTGCTTGCTTGCTTGCTTGCTGCGGTTCTTGCAAATGCTGGGCGATATGGCCGGGAGCAATGTAGCGCTTTGGGCTAGCGCTCAATGCGAGATCAGAGAGGCTGCACGCGCGTTGGAGAGGAGAGGAGAGGAGAGGAGATGATGAGGAGGAGGAGGAAGCGAGGTTTCAGCGATCGAGGGTGGTGCGTAGCGGAGGCGGAGTGCGTGCGTGCGTGCGTGCGTGCGTGCGTGCGTGCGTGCGTGCGTGCGTGCGTGTGTGTGTGTGTGTATGCGTGTGCCATTTGATTGTACGAATGCGTCTCCACACGTAGCATCCGACCCTCCCGTTGCAAGCTTCACGCCCATGCTGCTCCACACGTACACACCACACCACCGCTCCGCTCGCCATCCGTGATTGTGAGGCCCGCGCAGGCCCGCGCAACGCATCTCCACAGCCTTTCGTACGACAAGCCCCCGGCCGCGCTGCAATCAAGAATCAAGAATCAAGGGAGAAAGACACACGACACGTGACCCCCCTTTTGCTCTTGCATGCCTCTCTCTGTGATCATCACGTGTGCGCAATGACGTCATGCATACCTTCAGCAGACCGCGATCGACCTTTTTCGGATCCGCGCCGGCTTGCCGCGCTATTCAAAGGTCCGTATATTGACCGCGTATAGGCGGTCGATCAGCCATGCGCGCAGCCGTGGTGAAGAAGAGCTCATAAGCCAGCTAAGCCATTATGAGCAATAAGGTGCTCTAACGTTATAATGCAGCCATGGCAGCCATTCATGCGTGGAGCTCCGAAGGAAAAGAAGGAGACAGATCTTATGATTTTGATTCGTGATTGATTGTGAGGGGATGGGATCGTGGAGCTGAACAAGCGCAGCGCAGCATGATGATGGATATGACGCACGCGTGTCTGCTGTCATCAGGGGCCGAGCAGATCGGGCATGTCGCGCATCGTGGATCTTGCAGCATGTGCTTGCTGTTTTGTGGGCTGTGCGCATGTACCAACGGTCAAGGGTGTGGCTTCGAGCAAGCGAGCAGGCAAGCAGGCAGGCAAGCAGGCAGGCAGGCAGGCAGGCAGGCAGGCAGGCAGGCAGGCAGGCAGGCAGGCAGGCAGGCAAGCAAGCAGAGCAGCTCTTAATTGCGATCGAAGCCTGATGCTGTTCGCGCTTTGTACGCAGATGATGAAAGGCGGGATGTGCCAAGATTTACGATTATGATTGTGATTGTGGATGAGGGGTAAGGTAAGCTTGGAGGCGCGGAGGGGTTGAAGCATGGGCATGGGCATGACGCGCGTTCGTTTTGCCATGCTCGTTCGTGCCTCTTGTTTTGCTTTCCTCTCCTACTACACCTCGCGCCACTCGTGACTCACGAATCTGACTGGATAGATGATCTTGAAGCAAAACTCACACTCCGTGACTTGATCATCGCGAGCCGCGCGCGGGTCAACAGCCAGCCAACAGGCTGAAATTCGAATTTCCTGACTCATCTGGCCCGTCATGCAAGCAGCAGCAGCATCAGTCAGCCTTCTCCTCGCCATGCCGCGGCTGTGACAGCACCCTGCAGCTTTCTCCACTCGTGACTGCTTCCTCCACCACATGACAAGCGCGCCTCCGACGGAACTGGCCTTACCCAAGCACTCGCGCCTGCTCCGCTGCTCCACTACATATACACCGCACCTTTTCTCTCTTGTCTACACCCTCCCCCCCCTTCACCTTCATCAAGTGCATAGACACTAGCCCTCCCACTCTCACCAAGGAGCACGTCACAGCTTGCCCCGCCAAAATGTTCGTAGCGGCATTGGATCCATACTATCTGGGCGTCACTGCCATCATCACAGTGGGCTGGCAAGCCGTAGGCTTCGCCATCGCCTACGGACTCCAAATCGACACCATCACCGATTTCTGGAGCGCCATCAACTTTTTCGCTCTAGCGCTCATCACCCTGCTATTCGGCGATTCCTTTTTCGCGCGCAACATCATCTCCAGCATCTTTGTGATGCTGTGGGCCGTGCGACTAGGAGCTTGGCAATTGTTCCGCATGATCAAGATGGGCGGCGATACGAGGTTCGACGAGATGAGGTCCAAACCTTTGAAATTTGCACAATTTTGGATCGCTCAGGCTCTTTGGGTTTGGACTGTCAGCACGCCAGTCGTGGTGCTCAATAGTCCGGCTGTCAGCAGAGCGCTGGATGGCTATGGAGGTAGCTCGTACCCCTTTGGAACGGCAAAGGATATCATCGGCATCATCTTTTGGGTACTCGGTTTTGCGTGCGAAGCCTTTGCCGATCTGCAAAAAGTGAGTTCCTCGAGGGGGCCTTGATTTTTGATTGTTTGCGTGGAGCCGTCGCCTTGTCACAACTGGAGAACAGGTCACGTGTGCCCACATGGCCTTCGTGCTCGCGCGCTCGCCTCTTGTTGCCCAACTCCCAACTCAAACTCTTTCTCTCTTCCATCACCTCGACCTCTCTCCCCTCTCTGGCAGTACACGTTCAAGCAGTCCAAACCGCCTCGCGGAGCCATTACGGACAAGGGCGTATGGCACTACAGTCGACGACCCAACTATTTCGGCGAGATTCTCTTGTGGCTAGGAATCTATCTGCTCGTCATCTCTCCTGCCTCTTCCCCCACCATCTCCCGCAGAGGTCACGATGCGCTGCTAGCAACAGTCATCAGTCCCCTCTTTACCTTTTTGCTCCTCATGTTCCTCTCCGGCTTGCCGCTCAGCGAAAAACCATCGCAAGAAAAGTCCTTTTTGAAATCTCACGGGCACGCTTCCAGGGATAGGGATGAGGAGCCCTTGCCACCTTTTAGACAGCAGACGCAGGGAGATCATTGGGAGAGGTACAAGGCTTTCAGGAGCAGGACTTCCTTGTTGATTCCCATTCCTCCAGCCATCTATCAACCTCTACCCGTCTGGATCAAGAGCACAATCCTGTGCGATTGGCCCATGTACAATTTCGACGAGAAGAGGGATGGTCCGAAAGCTTTGCAGGCTGATGAGAAGAAGCAGCAGGACCAGAGCGCTTAATCAGCTTTTGCTTCGGCGCGCTACGATACCCAATTCCCCCCTCCCACGCTAGGCTTTTTCTCATCAGCTTCACTCTTATCGCCCCCCGAATACGCAATCGTAGTGGGTCCGTCCGACCGCATCGTGACAGCTCCTTTGCCTACACGAAACCTGATAGCATACATGTCCGCACTTGACTGTACATTCTACATCGCTCACGAAATCAATTCTTCGCTAGAAATCAGAGTCATCCCCCCCTTGCTTTGCATCTTTGAACACTCGAAAAAGCTTTTCGCACCTGCGTTCGAGCGCGCGCAAGTTCTAGTATTGGGCGCTGTTCTTGGGGGAAGAGGAATGCTGTTACAGAGATATGAAAGAGATGCGAGGACACTGTTTGTTACGCGTCGATACTGGGTGGGGGCGAGCGATTGAGAATGTAGGCGAGAGGCGGTGGGAGGGGGAGAGCACGGGGCCAATCGAAGGCTTGGTCGGTTGAGCATTTGGTGCTTCATCATCGCCTGGAGCAAAGTCGTGGCGAAGGAAGGGAAAGCCATGCGAGGGCAAACATCATCTGCGCGCACCCACTACTTCTCATCATCGCTGATCTCTACGACTTTCGGAATAGGTCGTCCGTCCAATCGCCTAGGTTGCTGCTGCTGCTGCTGCTGCTGCTGCACATTCTCCTTTTCCTTGTTCTCTTCTCTAGATTTCGCAGCTGGCGCTCTACCGCTGAGCGTCGTTCCGCTTCCCGCAAAGCTCTGCGATCTTTCTTCCTTCTGCTCCGCCTTGGCCTTGATCGCGCCCGGATCTTCATACTCGTAACCAAAGAACAATCTTCCAAAAGGCAGATTGAGCGCTGCAGGGATCTGCTTCTCTTGCAGCTGCGTATCGTTCGTCGCAAACCTCACTTGATCCGTTCTTCTAATCTTGCTAAACGCGTCTGGCTGCTCGATCGGCTTATCCTTCTTGCCAGCTTTGGGCTTCTTGCCGCTCAGACTTTGTCCCGCACCTCTGAAAGCTCCGCGTTCTTCTGCACCTCCTGCTCCACCCTCCCTGCCCGATCCGCTGCCCCCACCGCCTGGCGTAGTCGCGCCAGACGCGGGAATAGAGTCCACCTTGGACTTGTCAATGTTCAGTTTGGAAGCCATGGTGGGAATCGGTGCTCTAGGCTTGGGAGCGGGCTCCACATAACCCTTGGGAGGTGCAAAGTCCACCTCCAAATCCGTCTCTGTGATGTTGATGCTCTCCGCATCCGGCTTGATCTCCAGAACCAGAATCTCAAACGTGAGGCAATTGTAAGAGATTTCGATAATGTCTCCCTTTGTGAGCGCCGAAAAGTTGCTCAGAGCTCCTTCCAGCACACCTTTTGGGTCGGCAATTTCGAGAAAATCGACGGTTTGAGGTTGGATCTTGACGTGCTTGCCTTGAGGCATGGACTTGCCTCTAACTCGGATCGGATCTCCTTCGGAAAGGTGCAGCTGCCGCATCATCCATGCGGGCAAGTGCACGTTGCCTTCGTCTGCAATGAATTCCAGCACACCTGCGTGCGTCTTGTACTCCTCGCCATCCGCCGCTGTGCCCGTCGAGGAGAGCTCGAATAGCCAAGGGGTCTGGATGCCTAGATGAGAAAGACGAGCCAAAGCTGATGTGGGCATCATGACTGTTTGGGGGGGGGGGGGGGGGGGGGAGGAAGGTAAAGGGGCATAACTCATTAGTGGCACCAGCGAGACCGACCCGAGCATACACCTTGTTGCGGCTGCCTTGCACTCACTCTTGCCACCGTAGCTGACGTTCAACCTCTCCTTGCCAGGCAACATGCTGGTGGAGTAGGCTTTGAAATATTCATCGTAATGATGAGGAGGCCTAGAGAATCTGGGATCATCATCATCATCCCCTCCGTCTCCGAATGCACCGAATGCGCCTGCTCCACCCGCACCCGCACCGAAACCTCTCATGAATCCACCAAAGCCGCCAGCTCTGCCCCCGGCAAATGTGCCTCCGCCGAACTGCGATGGGGGGATTGGTGAGAGTGCGTGGTATGAGCATGGTGTCAAGATACGCTCAGGATTGTCTTCGCGGATCGCTCACCATGTCCATGATGGTGTGTGTAAAGCCTGGGAGAATAATGTAGCCTGAGGCTTGGCTCCCTCGCGTGCCTCTACTCGCTTCGGGCTGTTCGAAGCTGACGCCAGGCGTAGAAGACGGACGGTGTGAGTGACTGAGTAGAGAAGAGGGGGCTGGCCAATCACGCTGATTCAGAACGACTCGAGGCGCCGTCTTGAGCAAACAGAGCTATTCTCCATGCCATGCGTTGCGACGTGATGGAAGGAGTGGTAAGTGTAAGCGCCTGCCAATTTGAATCGTGAACTGAATCACGAATGCACGAAAGGGCATCCCATCCCGCACGCGTCATCGCCTCATCTGCTGGTGCTGCTGAGTGTTTGAGTCACGACTCACGACTCACGACTCACGACTCACGACGAGTGCTGATGCTGCATGGCAGGTGCAGCGCGGGCCCTCCACACTTGTCTTGTCGCCTATATATACTCTTTTGGCTGCGCTACCCGCGCTCATAGGCGTCCCGCTCTGCCGATTAAGCGACTCTGCTGCGTCACGTGCAATTGAGGAGATTTCTTGATTATAGATTCACTTTTGACTCGAGGGATTCATTCGTGATTCTTAATTGACGATTCAGATTCGTGATTCATGATTTCTGGATTGCAGATTTATTGATTGGCTTTCTTGCTTGCTTGCTTGCTTGCTTGCTTGCGCGCGGCGTGGCTCGGTGCATGGGTGTGCATGCATGCTCTCCTTTTGCAAAACGCTTCATGTGAGCCAAGGTGCTACGAGCTTGACCACAACGACCATTTGACTTGATCAGCAGCTGCGTTCCCAGCATCAGATCGAGCCTGATGAATGTCTGCATTCAAGACTCATCATTCGGGAGAACACAAGCAAGATGAGTCACTCTCGCAGTCATGATCAGCCTCGCGCTGTGACTGGCAGCGACGGCGTCGTCGTGACGGCCAAGAAGAAGAAGCATCAGCGAACTACAGCATCTCCCTTGATGGGCGGCGATCCTCTGCATGCTCCTGCTCCAGCGCGCACGCCATCCTCGTCGGGCACGGGCACGGGCACGGGCACGGGCACGAGCACGAGCACCTCTTCTCCAAGTCTACAGAATCAAAGTGCTTTCAAGAGGCAGCGATTGGACTCTGGTGAGGGTGTCTCGACGCTGCAGTCACCCAAGATGCAGCAGCAGCAGCAGCAGCAGCAGGCGATTGGACAAAGGGAGCTGCAAGGGAAAGCTCAACAGCTGCTTTTGCAGAGGATGCGATTGCCCATCTGGTCAGCCAGGCAAAACATCGTGGATGCTGTGAGGACAAGCGATACGGTGGTGCTGCTAGCGGAAACTGGAAGCGGCAAGACGACGCGTGAGTGACTTCGATGCGATGGGGTGCCAATGCATTGCACGTCTGCCCCTTCTTGCCACGAGCTGAGAAAGGATTGGTTGGACGTTGGCATGGCATGGCATACACGCCGCATCTTTTTTGCTTTGTTCCCCACCCCGCAGAGGTTCCCCAATTCCTATACGAGGCGGGCATGACCGACGATCGAGCGCCTCTGATCGGAGTGACGCAGCCTCGTCGAGTAGCTGCCACTTCCCTAGCATCACGAGTCTCAGCCGAGATGGGCGAACCGGATCCTGGCTCCATCAACTCCAAGCTGCCTCGAAACAGCAGCAGAAAGAATGGGAAAAGCCGAGGCACAGAAGAGGCGGGATTGGGAAGAGTGGGGTATGCCATTCGATTCGATGATAGGACCGGACCTAAAACTGCAATCAGGTTCATGACCGATGGGCTGCTCTTGCGCGAAGTCATCGGCACCGCAGCTTCGACGGGCTTTGGAAAGCGTGGCCAAAGCAAAGAGACGCATAGCCAAGCGGACCAATCAGCTGCAAATTCAGGTCCGACGCACAGCATGCTCGACCGCTACTCTGTGCTCATCATCGACGAAGCGCACGAACGCACAGTCGATACGGATCTGTTGTTGGGATTGGTCAAACGCATACAAGCCAAGCGCAAAGAGGCGCACATCCGATGGAAGGACAGACAAGCTCGACGAGCAAGGATCGGAAGCTCTACGACATCAGAGCAAACGCAACACGACGCGGATGCGGAACCTCGGCTGCTGAAGGTGGTGGTCATGAGCGCCACCTTGGATGCCGAAAAATTCTCCACTTTCTTCTCCTTGGCGGATGCGAAAGGACGAGCGGTACCCGCGCCCATTCTATATGTCCAGGGAAGAATGCACAAAGTTAGACTGTCGCATACTCTAGAGCCGTGTTTGGACTGGACAGAGGCTGCGAGGGCCACAGTGTTCCAAATTCACACGACTCGACCACCAGGGGACGTGTTGATATTCGGCACTGGAGCCGAAGAGATCGACGGCCTGTGTCACGCTCTCTCGTCCCTAAATGGTATTTTGGAGCTTCACGATGAGGGGAAAAGAGCAGAGAAGGGGCTCGGGGTGGGTAGAGTGGGAGAGGGGCTGTTGCCTGTTCCACTGTATGCTGCGCTCGGACCTGTGGGCGTAGCTGCTGCTTTTGCGCCCACGCCGCCCGGATACAGAAAGGTGATCGTAGCTACAAACATTGCGGAGACGAGCATCACCCTGCCCAACATACGCTACGTCATCGACTGTGGGCTTGCCAAGGAGCGAGGAGTGAAAAGAGGCGGAGGAGGAGGAGGAGGCGCAAGAGCAGGACTGGGAGGATCTAGGATTACGAGCTTGGATGCTGGACCCATCAGCAAGTCTGCAGCGGATCAGAGAGCTGGTCGAGCAGGACGAACGGCGGACGGCGACTGTTTCAGGCTGTACACGCTGCAATCCTACGAAGAGGAATTGGCAGAGGAAAGCACGCCAGAGGTGGAGAGGGCGGATCTCACCAATGCTTTCTTGGCGCTGTTCAGTATCGGCATCATGCCGCACGAGTTTGAGTGGATCAGTAGACCTGAAGAGGAAGAGGTGCATGCGTCCATCGTCGCGCTCAGCGTGTTGGGTGCCATCGAGCCTTGTCCCGCTCCGCAAAAGGGCATGAGGATAACGAGATTGGGCACGAGGATGGCGGCATTGCCTCTACCTGCTCCATTGGCCAGGACGCTGATCGCTGCGGGAGAAGAGGGACCGACTGTATCTCGTCAGGCTAGAGACCTTGTAGCCATCCTCTCAAGCGATAGGGCTAGCGTCCTCTACCTTCCTGCTCCTCATCTCAAAGATGCTTCCATCGTCAAAAGCGCGGGTGCGGGCGCGGGCGTGGGCGCTGGAGCCAAGGGGAAAAGCGAGAGCGATAAAGCTGCAGAAGCTCATGCCAAATTTGCTCATCCGACGGGAGACCACGCGACGCAATTGACTGCTTTGTACGCCTACATGGATGCCAACGAAGAGTTTTCGAGCAAGCTTCTGGACCTCGACGGCTCGGGTGCGGGTGCGGGTGCGGGCATGGGCGCGACGAATGGCTGGGGCAAGGGAACGTTCAAGAGGAGAAATATGGAATTGAAAGCGTGGTGCGAAGCGAATTACGTTTCGTTTAGAAATGTCAAGCAGGTGCTCGATATTCGTAGACAGATTGACTTGATCTGCAAGACAGCGGGCATCGTCTGCGACGATCATGATCGCGATCTCGGACGGTCCGAGCGAGGCAGATCATCAGGTCTTCTCAGCGCTTCTTCTGCTTCGGCTTCCGCTTCCGCTTCCACTTCGGCCAGGAGCACACCGGATTTGGCCGATGAGAACGAGATGTTGCGCAAGGCTGATGGACTGTTTGTGAGGAGAGGAGGCAACGCGTCTAGACAAGAGGGCTTGGCGAACGCATCGGGAGTGGAGGATTATTCGGCATTGAGGAGGTGCTTGTTGAAGGGAAGACCTGCGGATTTCGCTATTCGACAAGATGATGGAAGTTATATCAAGGATGGTCGTTTGGTGAGTTGGGCTTTCTTCTCCTCGACATCTTGCGCTTTTTCTTGCCCTTCCTGCTGTGCACGTCCAGAATGTCGGTGGTTTTGGTGGTCATAGCTCAACCCTCTCTCCCCCCGCCCCGCCCTCCTCCTCTTTCCCTCGTCACATATCTAGACGCTTCGGATTCATCCATCTTCCTTTTTGTTTGGACACAACAACCCGACGCGATCGAGCTCGACCGCAAGCGCAGCAGGAGCACCCTCCAATGCGAAACCTAGCGCAATCATCTTTGACGAAGTGCTCTTCACTACGCAATACTTTGCCAGGACAGTCAGCGCTATCGAGCCGGCTGAATTGGCTAGTGTGGATGAGGAGATTAGGAACAGACCCGCACTTGCTGGCTTTGTCAAGAGGTTGGAAAAGTGAAGCAGGCGGGCCAGAGAGGGATGCGAGGTTCACGCTTGGAAGGAGATGCTTGAGAGCGCCAGACGCATGCTGCGATACGCCTGATTCATGTAAATGTGACGCCTACGGGTGGGAGCATCGTTTGGATAGCCTCGAACATGCATGCACCTGCTTGCTTCTGGCGATCCGCACTCTGCTGAACTCTGTTGCTCTGTGCTGGCTGGCTGGCTGGCTTGGAGGATTTTCGTGGGAGCATGAGACACTCGACGGAGAAAGGCGTTGCGATTATAGTGTGCTGGAGCAGCAAAGCGGAACGGTCCCTAGGTTGATGGACAACCAGAGCACGGACAGGCCCGAGAGGACTTGTAGCTGAGACGAAAAGGCGCAAAGAGGTGATCTTTGGATGACGAGACGACAATGTATGAGCGTATCGAGCTGTACAAGGAATTCTGCCAGGACGAAGTCGGAGCAAAGGTGGGATGTGCTTTTGTTGTTCCTTTTGTGACTGCCGCGACGATGCCGTGCGCATGCGCTGTGGTGTGGTGTGCCAGATGCGGGTGCACACGCATGTTTTTCGAGCTGGGATCAAAGACTAGTCGTACTCTCCATCAGCGTTGCCACCACCCCTTGCACCTCTCGCATAGCTATCTAGCGCATCCTCATCGTCCCCATCGCCATCATCAAAGTAATCCTCAGCCGCATAATCTCCCTCATCCTCATCGTCTTCATACGCGTCCAACTCTTCCTCTTCATCCTTATCCTGATCCACATCCTCATCGCCGTCCCCGCCCGCACCAGCAGCAGCAGCAGCACCAGCACCGACTGCCTTGCTGCCCCCACCACGCTCGAACGAATCCCAATCCACCCGAGCGCGTTTTTTGCTCGTGGCTTTGGCAGCGCGCAAAGCTTCTCTCCTCTCTTCTCCTTGCATATAAGACTTCCATAGTATTTGAGGAAAGACTTCTCGTTGAAGGATCAGACTCGTCAAAGAAGGACCAGTAGCACCACCACTACCGTGCGATGAAGGTGCGTTCAAAGCTTTTGGTTTGTACCTATCCGAATACCTGGGCAATTCCAATCCGCTCTTTCTCTCCGTCGTCGTCGTCGTGGTCGTCGAAGCCGATGTAGACGCGGCGGCGTTCTGCGGATCATCTTGCATGCCAGGCCAAAAAGGACCCAATTTCATCTCTTGCAAGAGAGCCAATTGAGCGGTCGCTGCTCTGAGTTCGGACACTTGAGGAACAGGAGTGATGGCGTGACTGGGAGGAACGGGATAGATGGATGACTGCGATTTGCTGTTCATGCCGCTGCGGATCTCGTCGTAGCTGAATTGACCGGTGCTGGAGAGCAGGTCTGTCCCTCCACCTCGTCCCCTACCCCGTCCCCCACCACGTGCTCCTCGTCCCATGCCTCCTCGTGACATTGTGATCGGCGCAGTCCCTGATGAGAATCCTGCGGTCTTGTCTTGCTATGACCAAGCTGTATGTATGCGCTAATCCAGCAGCACTACGTGTTCCAACGGCGTCGAACGCAGCGAGCAGAGGCAGATGATCGCCAATCAGTGTACATAAGGATTGTAGCACGACTCTTTGCCCTTTTGTCGAATGAAGTTTTCTTTTTCCCCCCTCTTGCGAAGTAGGTTTGTACGACAACCGCAAGGTGATGGATGATTGGCAGATTGGCGTGCGCGATGCAGCTTGAGGATCAGCCCGGTAGACTGTGAAATCGTTCGTGAGTGGGCCTAGGATGAGAGTTCTGAGTGGAGATGGCTTGGCTGCTGCGTGCGAGTGGGTGCGTGCGTGCGTACGTGCTCGCTTCCGTGCCTTCTACCCGACGGACAAGTTCGCTTCGCACCTCTGAAAAGTCGAGAGGGTGAAGCAAATCACGTGACCTAGCTTCTGCCAATACGAATACGTGCAAGGTACGGTACCCACCTACGTGCGTTCGTGCTTGGAATCGTGAATTTGGATCGAATCGTAGATCGGAATTACTAATCAGCGAATCATCCGAAAGCCAGAAAATTAGCAACGCGGGGAATTTGAATCTTGAATGTTAGCTTGAGGGCACACAGCCACAACAATTAAGAATCAAATGCAAGTCACGAGTCACGAGTGGACATATATGATGCGTCGCGTTCGCGGGTGACACAAAAAAGCCAAGAAGTCAAGAGTCTTGTCCTGATCGAGCCAAGCGTTGATGGATGCATGGACTTCTTGCGTGAGTGGCTTCCGCTTCCGCATGCGAACACAATCTTGAATCTTTGACTTTGACCACTTCGCACTCGCACTCGCACTCGCACTCGCACTCGCACTCGCACTCAAACTCACGACTATTGTGATTGACTTGTTCATCAAGCTATCACCTGCAACTCGTAAAGGTGCCGCGCACGGTCCACAAGTCACCAGCACACGTACAGGCATCAATCACCAGCACCAGCTGACCTTCAAGTGTTGTCACTCACACTGGCTCACGCAACAGCCTGCATGGGTTGCCTTGCAGCAAAGGGGTTGAGGTGTCTTCAGCTGAACATCGTACGCATCGGTTACAAGTCGAATTGCTGAGCTTGAGCTGAAGCTTCATTGGTGATTGTGACGTTGAGCCGAAGCTTCATTCGTGACTCGTGATTGTGACGTTGCAGCTTTGCACATCATTCGCATCCCGCACGTCGAATCTACATTCAATTGTGATTGCGCGCTGCATCACAACAACGCCAACATCTCACCTACGCCTATGGCGCACTCAGACTGCTTTCATCGACGAGCACAGGCACGCATCAGAAGGCAACCAATTCCTACATCCTTTTGCATCATGTATGCGCTCTGATCTCATTCGCATCATCCACGCGTCATTCTCACACCACACCAGCATCACAATCGTGAATCACTTCGCAACAAGCTTCCAACCTGTCTAGTCACATCCATCAGCTGGCAAGATGAGCATCAATGCCTCCACATCCGCCAAAGCCGCATCCTCTCCATCCCACACGCCTGCCAAACACACCGAAAGCCCCTCGCTCTACGGGACCAATGGCAACAACGATGTTCAGCGCGCTCCATCTCGAGCAAGCAAGTTGGGGCATGCGGTGAGGAACAGTATCAACGGATTGTACACTCGGTATGCGCACCGGAGAGATGCGAGTCAAACTTTCAAACAGATGCGCATACAGGAGGGTCAGAGTGGACAGGCGTGCGTCGAGGGGAGTGACGGTGCGGTGAGGAGTGACGATGCTGCTGGGACTGCAACCAAAGAGGCGCTGGCGGAAGTGAAAGATGGGGTCAAGGCGCGAGCGTCGTCGAGTGAGGAAGGGGCGCCGTCTGCATTTACCTCTGCTGCTGCTTTTGAAGGTGGGCCAACGGCGTCGATAGCTGCATCTCGAGAGCCTGCTGTAGTGCACCACCAATCAGCGTCCCATCAAGACTCAGCGGTCAAACATCCGATTCCGAGTGCCGAAGCAGGTCCATCCTCCAGATCGTTGATCGCCTCATCAGCTCCGGCCGCGCCTTCAGCACCAGCCCCAGCTCCAGCTGCTGTCCCGGTCAGCGTAACTGTGACGCAACCTGAGACGATCGTATCGGCCGTCGAGCCGGGAGCGGATCGAGCGGCGGTGGAAGCTGCGTCGATTCCTCAAGAGCTGCTCAAGGGAGAGGCCATGCTCAAAGTGACGCAGAAAAAAGTCATGCAGCGCGTATTTAGACTGGATTCTGATCGAGGTCAAATCTTGTGGGACAGCAAGAAGAACAACAAAGGTGAGAATAGTGGACCGAGACAAGAATCAAGCCGAGCAAAAGGTCAAAAGATGAGCGTGACGCATGCTGACTAGCGTCTGCATTGTCCGTCCGCCCTTGCTCGCTGCACAAGTGGATCTGGAATTGATTCGCGAAGTGAGAATTGGAGCTGCGGCAGCGTCGTACCGCATCTCCTTGTCCATCGCAGCAGCGCACGAATCTCGATGGATCACCATCATCTACCAAACGGGCGGCGCATACAAGGCTTTGAATCTGATCGCCTTGTCTCAAGAATCGCTGCAGAGATGGCGAAGCACGTTGGAGCGGGTCCAACGTCTGAGAAGAGACTTGATGGGAAGCGTGGATATGCTCAATGCTAGGCAACACTTGTGGCTGAGGCAACATTGGAGGGCGGGAGATGCTAGTCAAGATGAAAAATTGGACTTTGAAGAGGTTGTCAGATTGTGCAGAAGGCTGGGCATCGAGAGCAGTAGAAAGGATCTCGAAGCAAAGTTCAAAGAGGCGGACCCCAAGGCAGAAGGGTATCTCGATTTTGCTGCTTTTCAGCAGTTTGTCAGCATTCTCAAACATCGGGCTGATGTGGAGGCAATCTTTGATGATCGGGCAGATGCTCGCGTGTCACTGTCGATCGAGCCTAATGGCGGAGGAAAGACGGAGGATGGGGAGATCCTATCTGAAGCGAGCGAGCACGCAACCGCCGCGATGAGCCGAGAAGCCTTCAAGCGTTTCCTCGTAGAAGTGCAGCGGCATTCGCCAGCGGATGCCGAAGTGATGGATGCCATCTACGACAAGCACTGCGAGCCAGCGTTGGGACATGTGCTCTTCGCAGGATTCAACTCTTTCCTCCTCTCTTCTGACAACCCTCTCATTTCGGATCACAAAAGCGACCTGGCCAACAAGCGGAGTACGGTCAAGGATAGATCATTATTGGTTCGAGCTAGAGCTCAGACTACGGACGAGCTGCTGCAAATCGGAGTGTGCGATGCGCCCTTGCCTACTTTGAAAGCGACGCAAGACATGTCTCTGCCCTTGTCGGATTACTTTATCAGTTCCAGTCACAATACATACCTAGTCGGAGGCCAGTGGAAGGGCGATAGTACGGTGGAAGGGTACATCCGCGCACTGCAATGGGGAGCACGCAGCGTTGAACGTGAGTCTTGCTGGGTCGCGGCTCTCAAGATAGTCTTGTAGCTGCTCAGTCTTTGCGCTCTGCTCGCCATCGCAGTGGACTGCTGGGACGGGCCGAACGATACACCGCAAATCACTCATGGGCACACTCTTACGAGCAAAGTGCCGTTTGCGGATGTCATTGAAGCGATCGGAAAGTATGCCTTTATCAATTCGCCCTACCCCATCATCCTGTCGCTAGAAGTGCACAACGAGATACCTCAGCAAGACGTCATGGCTGCCATCCTCAAGCAGAAGCTTGGCGACATGCTTTTGTCGGAGAAATTGACGGGCAAAGACGCCAAAGATGCGCTTCCTAGTCCGGATCGGTTGAAGGGCAAAATCTTGATCAAGGTATGCGTAGCACGATGAGACGTTTGCGTCTGTCTGGGCAAACGCTGACGGCCTGTCTGATCTCCTTCGCACGCAGACCAAAAATCTCTTGTTGAGTGAAGACGCGCCGATCAGCGAGGTCGATGCGGGGTACAAGCCTGCAGCCCAAGCCCAGGCCCAAGCCCGAGCGCCTGCGATTTCTGTGCCTGCGCACGAACGGGACACGTCGACGGACACCACAGAGTCCGAGTCAGAGGTGCGATTGAAAGATTTCGTCCGATCTCTGACTCAAAGGCGCAGTCGAGAATCAGCTTTGCTCGAACCCAACTCGAAAGAAAAGTCGAGGAACAAAAAAGTGATGATGTCGGCCTCGCTAGCGTCTCTTTTGGTCTATACCGTGGGAGTGAAGCATAGGGGAATCAACAAGAAGGTCAATTATGCCATCGAACACATGATTTCGCTTTCGGAAAAGAGCGCATTGAAGTATGCCAAGACAGCGCCGGAAGATCTCATCAAGCATAACTTGACCCACTTGACCAGAATTTACCCTAGCATGGCCAGCATTGCCAGATTGCATGCCAGCGCCAACTTCATGCCGCACGATATGTGGGCCACGGGAAGTCAGCTTGTTGCGCTCAATTGGCAAACTTTGGGTGAGTGGTTGGGCAAGGGCAGACGTGCATCGGATCTGCTCTGCGCGTGTCTCATGCCTTTTTCTGGTTGTACCGCACGATAGATTTGGGCTTCGAACTCAATCACGCGCTCTTTTCGCGCAATGAGCGATGCGGATACGTGCTAAAGCCGGAAGCTTTGCGCATCAAGGAGCTGTACAAGAATTCTCCGACTCGTTTGCGTTTTGAGGTGGAAGTGACGGTCGTGTCTGCGCAGCAATTGCCTCGGTTCAGAGACGCTGCAAAGAATAAAGATAGCGATGAAGGTTCAGTCATCAATCCCTTTGTCTCCTTGTCGATCCACGCGCCTTTGAGTTGGGGAGCTCAACCCAGCTCCAATACGGGACGTCACTCTCGATCCGCCTCTGCAAGCTCTGGAGAAGGAGGGCTGTTGCGCAAAGTCTCCTCGAGGAATAGCGCACCCGTTCAACTCCCAGAAGAGCCCAACAAAGGGCAGAAAAGGAGCAGCGCGGGCAGTGTCGCGGCGAGCAGCTCGTCTAGTCTGAACGTTCCTTCTGCCGCTGCTGCTGCCGCTGCTCCTACATCCAATGCCAACGCCGTCCCGACCACATCAACACCTTGCACTTCGGACGACGTTGCGCATGCCAAAATGGCGAGCGTGGAGAGCAACAAGATCTCAACGCTGCTCAGCTCTTCGCCTGCATCCATCAACAACGGCTCAAGACCGTCGATGGAAGTGAAGGGCAGACACACGAGCACCTCTTTCTTCGGCAGCAACGGAGGAGCCAAAGTTCCCAGCCAGGGCCAGTCGAGCAGCCGCAATCCAGCTTCCGGTGCACGTACGAGCACGATGAAGAGCAACGGCTTCAATCCTCAGTGGCAAGAGACCATGAAACTCGTGGTGGATTTGCCAGCGGGGGCATCTGCAGCGTGTCAGGCCCTCGTTCAAAAGGCCGACGAAGCCCTGCATCAGCAGCAAAAGGCATCTTTGGAGGAGGAGGATTTGGTGGGAGAAGGGATGAGCTGGAGAGAAATGAGCAGGGGATTGTTGGATCTGACGTTTTTGAGAATGGAAGTTTGCGATGAAGAGGCGAATGGGGACGCTTCTTGCGTCGCGGCTTATACTGCTAGTCTAGGCGCTTTGCAGCCAGGTGAGCACGCCAATGCGGCCTAGGGCTATTCCGCGTCTAGGAAGCAGAAAAATCAGCTGATGAATGTTTGCCCCCCCCCCC